TTACTTCTGTCAGGCAATGCTAGTTTAGGAGGGAAATTCTCATGTGAGGATCGTTCTGTCACAGCTTGTTGGCAAGCTGGGTCAATTTGCCCACCACTGCCCCAGCACATGCCTTTTTTGAAGTTATTTAGGTTTTAGTGGCGTTTTCCAGGATTCGAAGATAGCCACTTCCTAATACATACAAGACATGACAAGTATCTTTACTGTTATGATACATTGTACCAATGAGATTATTGTTGACATTGATGTTTACCATAATACACTGTAATTTGTAAAGGGTCAGCCACCCCCTCTTATGTACCCAAGGGCGTGGGGTGCTGTATGTTCCATAGCACAACCAGCGCTGACCCTAAAAGGTTGGATGGATCATTCCATTATTTCATGATTATTCCTCGGGCCTGGGAGCCCATTCATTAATGATTGGCCTGTAAGCCGAATGACAATAGATGTACATCATGTACATCGGACGTGGGAGTCCTTTGTTTGATGTATGTTTTGGGGCCTACCAGCCCATGTGACTGATGCCAGCTTGCCCAGAACAGATTCGGTATCTGGCAAAATAATAAATAATTGAAGCTGTGGCAAGAAACGGGAAAATCATTGTCCGGAAGTTTGTTCATTTGTGAGTCCAATCCTTTATTAAGGTCATAAGACAGCAGAGGCTAGGAGTATTCTCTTTAGAGATGTGGTACGTGGTCTTGAAAAATATCAGTACGGGTGCTTCCTCTTCACGCCTCTTGGTTGGGGCTTTGGCCGAATGAAGTAGTCAAACAAGTTGCGGGTTGAGGTGTAGTTGTGGCTTGGTGAAGAGTAGGGTAACAGGAAACATCCCCGAGTCGAGTCGTTCCCCAAAATTGAAACCCGGGTCAAGTCTTCCCCGGGTCAAATCGTCCCCAACTCAAATTGTCCTCGGGTCAAGTCGTCCCCCACTAGTTCTTACAAGTGTTGTCCGTCAATGTAATTTTCTTTGAAGGTGCCTCAACCACATGTAGAAGAGAAAAAAACAAGACAGAGACTTGTACATGTACTCACAATTTTCATTCGTTCTCCGCAGCTCGAGCTGGCGGCTTTTGATATCTACAGTAACCAAGACGTGCCACATATATTAATTAAAAAGGCCATTCCTGGTGTGTGCCAATGTAACAGCACATAGGCCTATTCTTTGAATTGTCAAAACATCTTCAAACAGTTTCAAATCTTCCAGTGGTCATTTACAGTTTATTTGAATAACTTTATGAAATCAGTAATGCGGAAATGAATTTTAGTAATTTTAAATTACTAGGAAAATCAGTTAACATTTTGACTAGGTTGTTTTAAGAGCGTATCGTGAAAGAAATTTTGTAATGATTGTATTAAATTTGTATTTTGTGATAAGTCTCTTGTAAAATGAAGTTACTTGTAATTGTTACTTATCGATCAATTACGGTATACATGTAATTGGGGTTCCCCGTCAGTGGTGTGTGAGTGAGCACTCCAATTGAGCTACAACCTTTGTCCGAGCGGCAAGGCTCAATGCGCACGGCCACCCTTTTGACGTTTCGCCGACGAAGGTGGTGTTTCACGGCAGCTCAGGTGTGGCATACAGGCCGACAACTGAGCTGGGGACGCTCTGTGTTATACTTCTCATGCAAATTTTTCTATTGCTCATTTTCACCCTCGATTCGTCTGTAATTTGATTGGTTGGCTATAATCCACTTAGAATCCCGTCAAAGTCGATAAAATGTGATCACAGTTAATCAAATGATGTTAAATGTGAAGATCAAGCCAAAAATCCCAATAAAAGACAAAGAAATAAATAAATTTCCCCCAGCAAAAACTGGAAAAGTACAAAAAGTTAATAACCCCCAAAATAAATTACTGCAGTGAAAGAAAAAGTCAAAATGCAATATATTATCCCCCCAAAGTTAGTTTCCGCAGTAAAAAATTGAAAGAAAAAATTACCCCCCCCCCAAGTAAATTGCCGTAGTAAAATTATAATTTAATTATTTATACGGGGGACGACTTGACTTAGGGACGATTTGACACGGGGACGACATGACTCGGGGACGACTTCACCAGCATTCAAGACTAGTGCCATTCGATTTTTGAGTTTCTTCCACCTTCCCAGAAAAGAGCTGTAGAATTTGAGAGAATGGTGTGGCCCAGGTTAACGTACCCTGGTGTGGATGTAGCTTGGTGGTGTTGGAGTCTCGATTGCCTTTGACAGCGACTATGTTGTCGGGTGATAAGTCTTGACAGAAACAAGTCTGTTGACTGTTGGCTATCCGGTGTGGGCGGTTTGCTCCTTGTAAGTTACCTGATTGCAGGTTGGAGTTATGTATACCCAAAATGTGGTTGGTTAGTGTGGGCGATTATATTTTCTGAATGCAGAAATAGGGTGGAATTGCGAATAACGTGTGTTGCGGATATGCTCGTGTATGCGGCTGAGATTGATGGTGCAAGTCTGTGGTCGTACTTGGTGTACGGTTGACAAAGAGGGAAGCAACCTGAAAATACCTTGCTTGCTAAACAAACAACCCACAATACCTCCAAAGGGGCAAGGTGTATAGAAATATGACAAGATTATGGTTCTTTCCCATTCAGTGATACTTCATTTGAAATCCAAATCCTCGCTTGTTAGTATTTTTAAAAGTAACTCTAAGTGATGTTCTACGAAATTGGGGATGAATGTAAAAAGAGTTTTTTTTTAATTGAATCGAATTCAATTGATAGAATCGATAAAAAGAAAAGAGACTGACATGCACTCGCCCAATATTAGTTAATTATTGACAACACGATCCTGAAAATCAGCGAAATGAATTTTCAGAAAAATTTCAAGACGGGAGAAAAGGTCAAACAATCTTGGTAGTTTCCTGTAAAGATCTCTCAAAGTAGTCGGGATCCTTTTTTCTTGTTCCTTTTTTTT